TCCTGGGGCCTGCCCCTCCTCTTCTGCAAACTGGGATCCGGTGTCACTACCTGTAGCGCAGGGATGGGCAAATGTCTTCTGAAAAGGTGCTATTCAGCTTTGCCAAACCTGTCACTCTGCCACTGTCCCTGGAAGCATCCACATATGCAAAAAATGAGCTTGGCTGTGTTCCAATAAAACTTTATTTATAAAAACAAGTGCGTAGAATTTGTTAGATGACATGAAGTGAGTCATGACCAGGACCTAACCCAGAGCGAGTGCGGGAACATTTCTGGCTGTCACCGTGGGTGTTAGAAGGAGGGCGAGGCGTGGAAGTTCCCTGAGCACCTCCCACCTGACTCCCAGACACTCCCAAGCAGCAGGAATGTCTCCTCAGACACCAGGCAGAGTGCACCCTGGACTATTACTGTCATTGGCAAGCTCCTGAGAAGCGCTGGGTGCTGTCCTGGGTGCTGAGAGGGCTCCGCCACTGTCTTTGCTCTTCCATGGTAGACTGCACCCAGCTGCCCCAAAGCAGCTCCTAAAATGAGGGAGTGTCCACACCTTGGGCCCTAAGAGGGGCTGAACTGTGAGACCCTGACTTAAAAGTAAAAATTAAGAACAACAAAAAAAGAGCTGAGAAGTAGCAGAGTCAAAACACACCCCGGAGCTACAGACCAGGGGAGTCGGGCTCTGCAGCCTCCCGCTGCGCTTGAGCTAGCTGCTCTCCTCGGTGCCTCGGTCTCCCCGTCCCCGTGGGGCCGGCACCGGGGTGCTAAGAAGCACGCGGGGCTCTTGGACACTCCTGGAACATCTCAGGGGTGCAGCTCCATGCCGGCTCTGTGCCAGATTTGGGTTGGTTTGTTTGTTATTTTGTTTGGTTGGGCAGTAGGGATTGAACCTGGGGTGTTTTGACTCTGCTACGTCTCAGCTCTTTTTTTGTTGTTCTTAATTTTTACTTTTAAGTCAGGGTCTCACTAAGTTGCTGAGGCCAGCCTTGAACTTGTAGTACTCCTGCCTTGGCCTCCTGAGTGGCTGGGATGACAGGATGCACAGGCTCTTGTTGGGTTTGTGGGTTTGTTTTTTATTATTTATTTTGGTTGTAGGTGGACACAGTATCTTTATTTCATTTTTATGTGGTGCTGAGGATTGAACCCAGTGCCTCATGTGTGCCCTACGAGTGCTCTACCCATGAGCCACACCCCAGCCCGTCTTGTTGGGTTCTGAGGGAGGTGACAACGTGTATGTCCCAACCGTATGGTTTATGATGTGACCCACAGCCTCCTCCATGGTGTCCTCTCCCCTTGAGAGCATGCGGGCCAACGGGTGACCATGAAGTAAAGCCCTGTGTCCTCCCAGCCACACCTCGAGAGCCCTTTGCTGGGGTGTGAGAAAGACGCCTACGTGCCCCGGAGCAGCCGTGCTGGACGGTCACTAGGAATCAGGTCAGGGGGCCCGTGCTCCTGACTCCAGCCATCTGTGTCCCCAGCCCACGTGCTGCCCCCGCCTCTGGTCAGCCCTCACTGTCGGCAGACGCAGCAGCAGTGGGCTGCCACGCCAAGCCCTGTGCAGGTCGAAGATTCCTGGGAAGGGGACCCGGTCCACGTCTAAAGCCACAGTGTCGGAACAGCCTGCAATATGGTGCAGCAGGGGCCACCCTGTGTTTTGTCCGGATTTTTGTCAGTACAGCCACCAGGGCCACACACTGTGCTGCGCTCAATAGCTGGGAGGAAAGGAGGAGGGCAGGAGGAGAGGGACGAGGCAGCAGGAGAGCTAGTGACCTGGCCTGCCAGCCGGGGTGCACAGGGGACTGGGGCCCTCTCTAGGAGGCGAGGCATTCCTGCAGAGAGGGGTGTCAGTCACAGGGAGCTCCAGGCGGTGGGAACAGCCATGCACAAAGCCTGGGAGATGCCGGAGGAGGCAGAGGTCCCAGAGCGTGGCTTTGTACTGGGGAGCCACAGGAGAGTTGGAGCAATGGAGGGTCCTGAGCAGATGTGTGTTTATAAGAAATTCTTTTTTTCTGGCTAGAACTTGGACTTGAGAGATAAAGGGGATGTAGGAAGGATGTAGGAAGAGCAGCTCCCAAATCAGGGACTTCCCCTCAGGGAAGCCGACTCACTGTTCCCTGGGCCCCGGCTCCCCTTCTTGCTCTTTACAGCAGACACATGAACACCCAGAATAAAGACAAAGTCCCCTGCCTCCTCTGCAGCCAGGTGTGGCCATGCGTCTAGATTCTG